GATGGGACCCCAGATGCCATGATCTTAGTGTTTTTTTTTGAATGTTGAGTTTCAAGCCAGCTTTTTCACTCTCCTCTTTCACTTTTTCATCAAGAGGTTCTTTAGTTTCTCTTCCTCAAACTTACAGACTCTAAATGTGTCTTCTATGTAACTTCCACATGTCACAAACTATTATTCTTCTGAGTTTTTCCTAACCTTTAAAAACATGAAAACAATTTCCTGACTCAGGGCCATGGGGAGACTGGTGGGGGCTGAGAGGCGGTGTGCTGCATGAGATCAGGGTGCCACTCCACTAGGGTGGCCGGCGGAGCTGTCCCCATGGAGCAGGTCTGACCAGGCGATTAATTGTCATTTCTTTTAAACCTTTGTTGCATTTTGTTCATGCTCCATTGTTCCTCTGGCAGTTGGTTCTTATCTTTTTATGGATGGTTAACACACTCGAGGTGACACACAGATACCTAGACTCTGGCTGGCTGGTTCCAGAGTCCGCGGGGCATGACTCCTCCAAGGGCCTCCTGTACTTAGCATAGTGCCATCACACGGAGGGCACCCAGCCAGCCTGTGCTCCAGGGACCTGAATCTGCTGAAGGCACCCTTCACTTGGCTGCGAGGAGAGTAGCCCCAGGGTGCGATGAACGTAGAAGGTGGGGAGAGAGTTCCTGAGAGGGGAGGGGAAGCAGGAAGTACTTGAGGGCTGCATAGGGAACAAGCAATCCATGCAGGATTCTTTTTTTTTTTGTTTGTTTTGTTTTTTTTTCATTTATTTTTATTAGTTGGAGGCTAATTACTTTACAACATTGCAGTGGTTTTTGTCATACATTGAAATGAATTAGCCATGGATTTACATGTATTCCCCATCCCGGTCCCCCCTCCCACCTCCCTCTCCACCCGATCCCTCTGGGTCTTCCCAGTGCACCAGGCCCGAGCACTTGTCTCATGCACCCAACCTGGGCTGGTGATCTGTTTCACCCTAGATAATATACATGTTTCAATGCTGTTCTCTTGAAACATCCCACCCTCGCCTTCTCCCAGAGTCCACAAGTCTGTTCTATACATCTGAGTCTCTTTTTCTGTTTTGCATATAGGGTTATCGTTACCATCTTTCTAAATTCCATATATATGTGTTAGTATACTGTAATGGTCTTTATCTTTCTGGCTTACTTCACTCTGTATAATGGGCTCCAGTTTCATCCATCTCATTAGAACTGATTCAAATGAATTCTTTTTAATGGCTGAGTAATATTCCATGGTGTATATGTACCACAGCTTCCTCATCCATTCGTCTGCTGATGGGCATCTAGGTTGCTTCCATGTCCTGGCTATTATAAACAGTGCTGCGATGAACATTGGGGTGCACGTGTCTCTTTCAGATCTGGTTTCCTTGGTGTGTATGCCCAGAAGTGGGATTGCTGGGTCATATGGCAGTTCTATTTCCAGCTTTTTAAGAAATCTCCACACTGTTTTCCATAGTGGCTGTACTAGTTTGCATTCCCACCAACAGTGTAAGAGGGTTCCCTTTTCTCCACACCCTCTCCAGCATTTATTGCTTGTAGACTTTTGGATAGCAGCCATCCTGACTGGCGTGTAATGGTACCTCATTGTGGTTTTGATTTGCATTTCTCTGATAATGAGTGATGTTGAGCATCTTTTCATGTGTTTGTTAGCCATCTGTATGTCTTCCTTGGAGAAATGTCTGTTTAGTTCTTTGGCCCATTTTTTGATTGGGTCATTTATTTTTCTGGAGTTGAGCTGGAGGAGTTGCTTGTATATTTTTGAGATTAATCCTTTGTCTGTTGCTTCGTTTGCTATTATTTTCTCCCAATCTGAGGGCTGTCTTTTCACCTTGCTTATAGTTTCCTTTGTTGTGCAAAAGCTTTTAAGTTTCATTAGGTCCCATTTGTTTATTTTTGCTTTTGTTTCTAAAATTCTGGGATGTGAGTCATAGAGGATCCCCATGCAGGATTCTATAGCAGTGTGATGGATTCTATAGCAGTGTGATGGAAGAAGCTGGGCCCAAGTTACAGGAGAGCAGACCATAGAGACTGAAGTTGAGGGCACGGTTCATGGCGGGCAGTGTCAAGTGCACTCACCTGACTCGGGCTAGAGAAGGAGTCCTCAGCATGTCAGCGATGACAAGGTCAACTAGAAGACTTCAGATCAAGTAATATTTAAGCCATAGTCAGTCCTCGAGAGTGAGGACCTGGATTGTGGTTGTGGAGAGAGCAGAGAGGAAGCAACTAGAAGACGGTTCTAGGCCGGAATGTTCTCCAGGACTTTCTGGAAACAGGAAACCACCAACTGCCAAGAATCAAGGAATACTGCCCTTCTCAATTGCCTCAAAAGCAATATGCCTTGCATTACATGATTGCTCAATTGGCTGGTTTTTCAGATGGTTTTTAATTCCCAAAGTCATGGCTGTTCTTTTCTAAGTATCCTGAGCTTGTTTTTTGTTTTTTTTTAGTATAGTTTCTGTGGTTAATACACTGAGTACTAGCAAAGCGGTTTGTTTTATTACCTTTCAGTTCAGTTAGTTCACTTGCTCAGTCATGTCCGACTCTGCAACCCCATGAACTACAGCACACCAGGCCTCGCTGTCCATCACCAACTCCCGGAATTTACTCAAACTCCTGTCCATTGAGTCCATAATACCATCCAACCATCTCATTCTCTGTCGTCCCCTTCTCCTCTCACCTTCGATCTTTCCCAGCATCAGGGTCTTTTCTAATGAGTCAGCTCTTCACATCAGGTGGACAAAGTATTGGAGCTTCAGCTTCAGCATCAGTCCTTCCAATGAATATTTGGGACTGATTTCCTTTAGGATTGACTGGTTTGATCTTGCTGTCCAAGGGACTTGAATAATACCACAGTTCAAAAGCATCAGTTCTTTGGTGCTCAGCTTTCTTTATGGTCCAACTCTAACATCCATATATGACTACTTGAAAAACCATAGCTTTGACTAGACAGACCTTTGTTGGCAAAGTAGTGTTTCTGCTCTTTAATATGCTGTCTAGGTTTGTTATCACTTTTTTTCCAAGGAGCTAGCATCTTTTAATATCATGGCTGCAGTCAACATCTGTGGTTATTTTGGAGCCCAAGAAAATAGTCTGTCGCTGTTTCCATTGTTTCCCTATTTGCCATGAAGTGATGGGACCCCAGATGCCATGATCTTAGTGTTTTTTTTTGAATGTTGAGTTTCAAGCCAGCTTTTTCACTCTCCTCTTTCACTTTTTCATCAAGAGGTTCTTTAGTTTCTCTTCCTCAAACTTACAGACTCTAAATGTGTCTTCTATGTAACTTCCACATGTCACAAACTATTATTCTTCTGAGTTTTTCCTAACCTTTAAAAACATGAAAACAATTTCCTGACTCAGGGCCATGGGGAGACTGGTGGGGGCTGAGAGGCGGTGTGCTGCATGAGATCAGGGTGCCACTCCACTAGGGTGGCCGGCGGAGCTGTCCCCATGGAGCAGGTCTGACCAGGCGATTAATTGTCATTTCTTTTAAACCTTTGTTGCATTTTGTTCATGCTCCATTGTTCCTCTGGCAGTTGGTTCTTATCTTTTTATGGATGGTTAACACACTCGAGGTGACACACNTGCATGAAATGTTCCCTTGGTATCTCTAATTTTCTTGAAGAGATCTCTAGTCTTTCCCATTCTATTGTTTTCCTCTATTTCTTTGCATTGATCACTGAGGAAGGCTTTCTCATCTCTCCTTGCTATTCTTTGGAACTCTGCATTCAAATGGGTATATCTTTCCTTTTCTCCTTTGCTTTTTGCTTCTCTCCTTTTAACTATTTGTAAGGCCTGCTCAGACAGCCATTTTGCCTTTTTGCATTTCTTTTTCTTGAGGATGTTCTTGATCACTGCCTCCTGTACAATGTCATGAACCTCTGTCCATAGTGCATCGGGCCCTGTGTCTATCAGATCTAATCCCTGGAATCTATTTCTCACTTCCACTGTATAGTCGCAAGGAATTTTATTTAGCTCATACCTGAATGGTCTAGTGGTTTTCCCTACTTTCATCAGTTTATTACCCTTGCTTTCAGACTTAATAGAGACAGATACCTGTAGTCTGCTGTCTAAGTGCAGAAAAGACTAGTCTTCAGTGACATGAAAAGGAGGCCGAATCCAGAGAATTTTCTGGAGTTTCAGACTCAGAAAATCTCTAATGCTGATTAGGAGGTAACTGGACAGTTGTCAGTCCTTTTAGTCATTGGTGGACGTTCCTTCATATTTCTTTAAATCTCATTTTGAGGGGAGGGGGTTAGGGAAGCTTCATTATTTTCTTTTTGGTAAAAATCCTGTTGAGAGTTTGAAGTGCTCAGCATGTGAGGAGGAACCCTCATGAAAATGGTCCAGCCTCTTGCCACCTCCCATGTCGCAGACCGAGGGGATGGAAAGGGGTAAGACCCGCAAGAATGAATCACAGACCGCCATGGACCCTGCTCACACCGTGGGGCTGGGTGTGCCACTAGAAAGGTCTCCAAGCAGCAGCGGTGTGGATGGTATTAATCTGCCCAGCTGGCAGCTCGGCAGGCACATTGCTGCCCAGGGCCATAGCGTGACCCTCAGTCTCCCTGGACATACCACATCTTTTGAGTACCATGTTCATGTCACGTTCATATTTTTTTCTAGAGAAGTACAGTAGATGAAATTGTAACAGATGCAAGAGGCATTAGTGATAAAAATTTATAAGACCTTGGAATTTGTGCTCCTGTCGGTTTGTAACTGGCCTGGGCTTTCCCAGCTTAATGATGCTCCGTCGTTCCAGGTTGATGAAATGTGCAGGACGCTTTATGGTGAAGACCCAGGGGTATAGTCTAGCCATGTGTTTCATGGCCTCAAATGCAATAGCATTCAGTGATATCAGGAACTCGGGTCTCTTTTTATCAAACAAGCATCTCATTACACAGCCTCTCACCTTGTACTAGTGCTTTACTGTTGTAAACATCTTGTTTCCTTCTCTCCCCCCACCCTGCACCTCCTGTTGGTCGGCAGATGGTTCTGTGAGGGCAGTGAGCTGCACAGCAGTCCCGACATCCAGATCCTCTGGGACGGGGGCGACCTGCACAGCCTGATCATTGCCGAGGCTTTCGAGGACGACACGGGGCGCTACACCTGCCTGGCCGCGAACCCCAGCGGCTCCGACAGCACGTCCGCTGAGGTGTTCATCGAAGGTACCCAGGGCCTGTATGGGAGGGGACCCATCACTTCTTATGAACGTGGCTTTCCCACTTTGTGAATCAAACCTCAGTTGTCCTGGAAGCTTTATGGGTAAATGAAATTGTTCTGACACTTGGGCATACATCAATGATGTCTGATGTCAGCATTTCTTCCTTTTCATTTAAAACATTTCAGTTATGTGAACTTAAATTTATAACACTAAATATCTGACTTATTTTTAGTTTCTCTGGTAGATAAAGAATGGGAACATACTGAAGTACTAGGTCTGTCAACTAAAGTTCAGCTCTAAAGACTTAGGATATCATTCACGGGGAAGTTAAAGGATTGAATATTTTTGACTATTGTTGTTTTTATTAATTGTAGACCTCTTTCAGGGTCTGACCCTGGATGCCATGTTCTCTAACTTGATTTCACTAAATGGGGTCTTTAGCATGGCAGCCCCCCACACTGCAGTCCTGTTCTGCCTTTGGGGTCCCTGCATGAGCTACTTAACATGGGGAGACACCCACAGTTACACCGGCCACATGTGGTCACGGGTCTGGCTTCAGATCCCAGTGCTTTTGGGAGGAGTGGTCTGGGCGGAACCAGATTAAAGAGCCTCCTGGAAAGCGCTGTAGGAAACTGCTGCTTGCCCCCGTGAAATCAGGGCGATGACTTTTTTAAAGCCTGGTTTTGGTGTATTTTTACTTCTAAGAATAATTACGTGAGATGGAAGAGAATTTGACACAAACTCTTGGGCTCCTCTTATGACTGAATGGAAAGGATGGTTCTGCGTTCCTTACTCCTTGAGACTTGGGGCGTCTCTCTTGTTTCCTGAACGTTGTTGCTGTTGCTGTCCGCCTACAGCATGGGGCCGGTTACCAGAGGCTAGGAAATCTCTTACAGATTCAGAAATCTCAACAAAACCATCCCTAAAAGTGTAACAGCCTGCTGGTTGAAAGCTCTCTAAATTTCACTGTCTGGTGCATCAAATTTTAGAATGGTACTGAGAAAATTTCAGCTTAAGAACAGTAATGAGCTTTTCCTCGTTGTGTTAGCTAGGGACCAGGCGCTGGTCTTCATTTCTACGTGGATCATCCCATTTAGTCCTTAGAAAAATCACCCCCTTCTGTGGCTGAGGAAGCTGCAGCTTAGGGAGACTTGTAGAGCTCCGGACCTCACACACACTCTGTCTCTCGTGCACACACAGAAACACATACACACACTGTCTCTCACAGACACACTCTCACACACACGCGCGCTCACCTGAGCCATAAGGACTGGACCCAGGCAGTGTGAGCCCTTCTTAGCAGCCACGGGGGAAGACACAGGTGAACTCAGGATCTCAGGGCCACTTGGTCATCGCCCCATCCAGCACGGGCCTGGGATGTGCGTCTGGAACATCTCAGGACATCACTGAGCTTTGGGGCAGTGGCCGTGTGTTCCCCGAGAGGCCCCTGGAGGGCAGGCAGAGGTCTGGGTGCTGGGTGGGGACCCTTGCTGGACAGGCTAGGCCTCTGCCCTTGCTCAGGAATGCTCCAGGAGGGAAAGACCCACCCCCAGCAAGCTGGAAGAAAGCAGAGGTGGTGGGGGGAGTCAGAGGTCTTTCTGAGGGGCGGCGTCTGCCCTCAGTCCCAGCTCTGAGAGGAAGTGTGGGGAAGGCCTAGGGGAAGGTGCTCCAGACATGGGGGCGTTGGGGGGAGGTGGCCGTGGGAGCGGCAAGTGTGTCCTGGAGCAGAGGGGGCAGCGGGGCGGCGGCCAGCTCACACGGGATGTGGGGCCTTGTGGGCACCATTGGCAAGCTGGCCGTTACTCTACATAAAATCATCACTTGTGCAGGTTTGCAGTGAAAAGCCAGAGTGCCTGATTTCTGTTTTTAAACTGAAGTTTGGCTTGTAACTGGGAGCCCAGTAAGACGCGTGCTGCAGCAGGCCCGCGGAAAGGTGCTGGTACTGGGGAAGCACGCTGTGTAGACAGAGGGAGAGGCGGCCAGATCCACAGCCACGTGGTGGGGTAGGCGTGGGCCGAGGGGTCCCGGCAACCAGCATACTCAGGGGTTTGGGCTTCTCCATTGGTGTGGATGATGTGGCCTGTCAGTGAGATGGAGGATGGGGAGCTGGGCACAGAGGGGAGTGGGTGCGGTGTCTGCATGGCCATCTAGATGGCTGAGTGCGCAGGCGGGCAGGGGTACGTGTGGGTATAGTTAGGGCCCAGGCCGAGGACGTGTCCTGGAAGCTTCAGGAGGTAGATGGTAGGCCAGGGCACAGGACCGGACAGACCACGTCTGAGCCGAAGATGACCCCTCACCTGGGTGCACCAGGGCAAGGAGGTGCCAGCAAAGGAGGGGTCCGGGGTGGGCGGAGCAGGTCAGTGTTTGAGGAGGCAGGGAGTGAGAGCCGGCCAACTCGGGCCCCTACTGCGGAGGTCTCTCACGAAGGATGAGGACACACAGCTACAGGTGCTGATGGCAAGTTCAACAGGAGGGTCCGTGGGCACCTGGAAGAACCAGTTCACCGAGGTCCTCGGACATGGACGGAAACGTGGGGACGCCTGGGTGGTGCCCAGAGGTTCTGTCCAGACACTACAGGGCTGGGGCCAGAATTTGGACAGGAGCACAGGGTCAGATGCTTTTTGCAGTCTGTTTGCTTCTTGGTTTTCATAGCAGACTTACTAGAGTCTATGTGAAAGACTTCCTTTCCCTGCTGTGAAAATAATCCAAGGGAGAAAACAGACCCTGCAGAGAGAGACAGAGTAAGGTGCCAGGGGGCCAAGTCTGAGAAGGAGAAGGAAATGGACTCCCCCAACAGTGTGTGGGTGGTGAGGAGCTGCTGTTAACAATTTCATGGTGGTACCCAAATCCATGGATGATCAAGTCCCTTAGAGCAGCAGTCCCTGACGTTTTTGGCACCAGGGACCTGTATCGTGGAAGACAGTTTTTCGAGGGTCAGGGGTGGGGGTGGTTTGGGGATGATTCAAGTGCATTACATTTATAGTGCACTTTATTTCTGTTAGTATTACATTGTGATATATAGTGATATAATTACACAGCTCACCACAGTGCAGAATCAAACGGATGGACCCATCTTGGGGCAACGGGAGTGACAGGGACACCCGGAGTGTGTTCTCTTGTCCAGTCTACCCCATTGTCTTGTTTTGGTTGCTGTCAGAAAACCCTGCTTCACAAAGATGGGATGTTGGAAATGGAAGCAGGCTTTTTGGTACTTTTGTAGAAACCTCAACATATTCCACCTTGACTTTAATCTAGAGCGGATGGAGATTTGAAGTTGTATCAGACATACTCTTAAGGCCACCATCATTTGCAGTCTCAAGTAGTTGATCCTGTAGCATGGACAAAGTTGATTCACCTGGCCTGTTCACAGATGGGTCACGGGTCCATTCTTCCCAGCTTGCGGGTCTTTTGTGGTTGGAAAGTAATGCTCAAACTCCTTTGAAAAGCTGAGGTAGGTGATCATGCTCCAGCTAGGAGAAAGAAGGCTGTGGCTCAGTCTCTTTCAAAATCTCTGCTAATGTTTGAATTGTCCAAACTCCCAATACTCCCTTGTCACCTTCACAGTTCCCATTTGTTCTGAACACAGATACTTTGCCAACTTGAGCACAGCTTAAGTGACAGATGAGTTCATTGAGCAGGTTGAATACGTCACACAAGTGAACAAGGTTTTCGATCCACCCTGTGTCACAGGTATGTGCTGCCAGTGGTGACAGTTTTTTTTAAAAGAAATCTCTGGAGTGGCTCTCATAACTCAGAAACTGGCCAGGGACCTGCCTTTAGAAACCCATCTCGCTTCTGTGTACAAGAGCAGATGTGTGCATTCATCTCCTCACAGGGCTGTGCCAACAGATATGAGTTAAGGGCATGTAATTTATTTAGTGATAATTTCAATCACATCCTGGAAAGCACTGTTATGTTCGGGTGATGTTTTTTGGCTAGCCAGTGTTTCTCTATGGATGACACAGGAGGTAGACTTATCCAGATGCAAAATCTTTGACCGAGTAGTGAACCAGAAAGCCACCCACTCTTGGCAGCCACTCCACCCATGTATATGCCGATACAGTGTATACTGACGCACAGTGACCCATTCCGTTTCCTGATACGTAGTCATTCCAAGACTTAACAGTTCCGTGGCTGTGGTGGTGGCTGGCAACCAAAGTACATGTCACATGTCCGCTTGCACATCCTCCTGGAGAGCGTATCACACAGAAACAAGCACTGCTGTCTATTGCCCACGTCAGCAGACTCGTCAGCCTAGACTGCATCCCACAGGGATTCCTTGACCCCCCTAGCAGTCCTGCCCCAGCACCCTCTGCTGTTTCATCAGCTCGTCTAGTTACGGAGCTGGCCACCTTCTGAGCTGCAGCGTCTCCCAGAAGTTCAGGACAGATGTCCGCAGCAGCAGGCAGGATCAGCTCCTCGCCAATAATGAAGGGCTTCTTAGCTTGAGCAATGCGGTTAACTGGTGAGAGTGATGCTTAAGACACATTAGGTGAAGTGGTGCCCTTCAATAATTGCTTCTGTTTTTTGTGTTCATGTTTTTTCTTTTAAAAAAAACTCCAAAGGCTTGTCTATTTTTTAAAAAGGTAACTATTTATTTGTTTGTTTTTGGCTGACCTGGTCGTTGTTGCTGCACGGGCTCATCTCCAGTTGCAGTGAGTGGGGGCTCCTCGCCAGCTGTGGTGTGCGGGCTTCTCACTGTGGTGGTTGCTCTTGTTGCAGGGCACTGGCTCTGGAGCGAGGGCTTCAGTAGGTGCAGGATGGCGAACACCCACAGTTAGCTGAGCGCGGCGCTCACCCTCAGTAACAGCTGAGAAGCTGCTGTCTGCAGGCAGACAGCCAACTGCAGAGACACATGTAGTGTGATTCTGTTTGTGCAAATATGTGCACAAGTATACAGTCTCCCCTCATCCGAGGTCTCAGGAAAAGTGAAAGCTGCACTGTGAAAATATTAAATGGAAAGTTCCGGAAATAAACAGTTGATCACTTTTGAATTTTGTGCCATCTGAGCAGTGTTGATGAGATTGCTCACCTCAGCTTTGGCCACTGGGCCGTGAGTTATCCCTGTCTGGCCTGTCAGTCACTGAGGTTGTTAGACTGAGGGCCCAGGGCTTGTGTTTACCAACCATAGTTTTACTAAAAATGACCCCAAAGCCCCAGGGTAGTGATGCTGGCAGTTTGGACATGCCGCGGGGAAGCCATGCAGGGTTCCTTTAAGTGAAAGGTGAGAGTGAATGAGGAAAGGGGAGAAAACCATATGCTGAGGTTGCCAAGATGAATGGTGAGACTGACCCTTCTATCCATGAGGTAGTGACAAAGGAAACGAAATCCACATTGTTTTGCTATCATGTCTCAAACCCTAAAATTTACAGCCAGTGTGTAAAGGCATTAAATTTATTCAATAAGATATTTTAAGAGAGAGATACCATAGTCATATACCTTTGTTGTTATTATTATAATTGTAATATAATTACATCATCATTGTTGTTCTATTTTACCATTAGTTATTGTTGTTCAACTCTTACTGTGTCCAAAGTGCAAACTACACTTTATCTTAGGTATGTCTGTATAGGAAAAATACAATTGACAGGGTTTGGTGCCGTTCATGGTTTTGGAGTTTTTTAATGTATCCCCCACTGATACCAGAGCGGGCCACTGTACATTTGTTAATACACTCAGTTTATCTGAAAATTGCAGCCAGATTGTTAGCCTATCCAGGATGGCATCAGGGATGGGATGTACTGGTGTTCACTCTTACGTCACACAATTCTGTGCCGCTTGGTTACTTTCCTGTTGTTGTTCAGTCACTCAGCCGTGTCCAGTTCTTTACAACCCCACGGTCTGCAGGATGCCAGGCTCCCCTGTCCTTCACCATCTCCTGAAGCTTGCTCAAATTCATGACCGTGGAGTCAGTGATGCCATCTAACCATCTCATCCTCTTTTGCCTCAGTCTCCTATTGCCTTCAATCTTTCCCAACTTTACTTTTCTAAAAGTATATATATTTTACTTTAAGATATTCTAAATAGGTAATTTAAATAACTCATGTTAAATATGTCTCATAAAGGAATTATCAAGAATGTACTTCTAACCATCACAGTTTTTCTAAATGTCACCTAAAATCTCTTATCACAAAATACATGAGCATTAAAATGTAAGTACAACCTGCCTTTTGGCCTGAAAACCCAACAAGGTGACCCTTAATTTAAACACAGCAATGAAGCAAATGAACTTGGGAGGGTATGATCCAAACTTAGAGATGCACCCCCCTCCCATTCAAGAGTGAAGCCACAGTCAAGTCCCAACTGATCAGAGTCAGAAAGCATCTCCTCATCAATGAGGAGTGAAGGTATTGATAATGCACACCATGTAATCTGGGCTTCCAGATGACACAGTGGTAAAGAATCCTCCTGCCCGTGCTTGAGGTACAAGACACACAGGTTCAATTCCTGGGTTGGAAAGATCCCCTGCAAGAGGAAGTGGCAACCCACTCCAGTGTTCTTGCCTGGAGAGTCCCATGGACAGAGGAGCCTGGTGGGCTACAGTCCATGATGGTGCAAAAGAGTCGGACACGACTGAGCACACAGGGCTACTGCTGCCGCCCAATCTGCTGGAAAGCGCGGAAGTTTAAGACCACGGCTGTCTTTACACACAGACACACACACATTGATTCCATAGTTATTAAGCCATTTAAAAGTATGGTTACGATGCCCAAAGGGACAAAAATGAAACTAGGAATAAATCTGACACTAAACATATACTGATTTGAAGAAAACTTTTTCAGGACTTCTTTTTTAAACTGATTATCTGAAAAAAACAGACTCAGTAAAAATGGTATGAAACATTCTCTATTTCACAGTAAGACTCTGTATGTTACTGTCTAAATGAAGAATATTACCCTTGGAAGTGGATATAGATACTACCTACATCTTTGTTTTTTTTTTCACTCAGGTGCCAGCTCATCAGACTCTGACAGTGAAAGTTTAGCTTTCAGATCGAAACCTGGAGCCATGCCTCAGTAAGTGTGTCGATTCCGTCAGTTTAAGGAGAAAATGTCAGCAGGCTTGTGCTCAGTGGCGCTGCTTGCATTGTGCGCTGAAGGCAGAGGTCAGCCGATGTCAGTCAGAGATCAGATGCTTGAACCTGGAACACAGTCTTTGACTTTTGAACTTTGAAATCTGCATTTCATCATCAGTGTCCCAAAATCTAACCATCCACAATGTTAGTTCCAGTGACAACTGACTGCTTATAAATGTGTAGAAGGAGCAGTCACATTGAGAGAAAATTATTTAAATCATTACTAAAATATAAATGACAAACAATTTATCACATAAATTAGAAAATATCTAATTAGACTAGAAATGGATTTCCATTTGGATAAAGTGTATCTCCAGTTAGATCATGTCATGAAAATCTCAAAATTTTATTCTCCCTACAAAGACATAGGGATTATTAGTAATATGTTAGGATCTTAATTAATTAATTATTTAATTATTTTGCAAAGATAAAATCTACCAAGATTTTGTAGAAAACTCCATGAATATTGAGACTGTGCTAATAAATTTGTTTGATTTAGTAGTATATACATAACAATCACAGCTATTCAGCATCAAATTATCAGTGACCATTCATGTTAAAGGGGGCTTCCCTGGTCGCCAAGTGGTAAAGAATCTGCCTGCTAACGCAGAAGACATGGGTTTGATCCCTGGGTTGGGAAGATCCCCTGTAGGAAGGTATGGCAACCCACTCCAGTATTTTTGCCTGGAGAATCCCATAAGCAGAGGAGCCTGGTGGGCTACAGTCCATGGGGTAGCAGAGAGACATGACTGAGTGCTAACTGAGCATTTGTGTTAAAGGGATCTTAATAAGATCACATACCCTGCTACCTGTGCATTCAAACAAGGATCTCAAGTTTAGTGAAGTTACATGACTCACTTGAGATTACACAGCCTGAGACTTAGCAAAATTGGACCTAGAAACAACTCTTTTATGCCCTAAGAAAAGACCACAGTCCAAGACATTCTCAACTTTATACAATGGGGAACTGGAACGAAGAGCAGTTGCTGGACTGAAAACCAGCCACCAGAACTTTGAATTAAATATAGAAGCCCAGTCCTAAACATTTCCTAAACGTGTCTGCTTACTGCTATGGACTGGGCTTTTCTAAGTATTATCTTTTCTCTTAGGATTTTCCAGTTCAATACTTTCTGCTTTCTAATAAGAGCTGAGATACATAGTTACATGAATTACTTTCATCTGTGTGTTTATTTTGCTGATGTCTGGGGGGCCGTCTGAATATATACTGAGCACCACTGTTCTAACTATAGGTTGTGGGTCCCCATTTCTGAAGCAGTTACAGTTGAAGCAGCTTGAGCAAACATAAAGAAACTGGCCTGTCCTGTGGAAATGTTTCAAAGAATAATTCCTGTTTAAGAAATTCTGACCCAAGACTTCACTCCTTACTTTCCAGAGCTCAGAAGAAAACCACTTCCGTGTCCCTGACCATTGGATCATCATCCCCAAAGACAGGAGTGACCACAGCTGTGATCCAGCCTCTGTCAGCCCCTGTTCAGCAGGTGAGCCTTATCCACAGCCCGAGGGAAGTCAGGCTCTTTAGCATAAAGACCCCAACTAGTCCTACCTTGAAATATCTCCTCAGTGGACACACAACTGGGAGAAAAGAAAATGATAAGTTCTTCCTTTTAATGCACTAAAAATAATTTTTAATCCAAGACACACCACTGATTAATCAACATCTGTGTTTCCTTTGGGAATTTCTTTTTCTCGCACCTAATACTCTGATAAAGTGGTATCTGTCTTGGCTGTTACTGCTTGATTCCCCCTCATGTATGTGCCATCTTCCATGTAGCCAAATTCGTTAGCTCATTTAAAAGAAAGTAGAAAATGAGAAAAGTCCACCTTATCCACAAAGTCCACCTGATAGAGTTCAGAAGTCCACTTGTCCTCTGAGAGCTTAACAGATAATATAGGAATATTCAGATTCCTTCACTCCACTGTGCATTTTCATCCTGCTTTCATTTCATTGTAAGACTGCTTTATCCAAGAACAACAGTACCCATGACTGAGTCACTGTAGTGCCCTCACTTTGCAAACACAGAAGACCTGAAGCTTTTTTTAAGTAAAAAATTAGAATCTAGATGTCTCTAAGTCAAATGTGATACTTTGCCATGGTGCTGTGATGGGCATCTGTAAACCCAGGACTCTTGCAGTGTGAGCTCCCCCTGAGTCATAAGTGCGTCTGACGAACACTGGTGTGCCCTCCAGCCACTCAGCGCCTGTGGGCGTTTTACAAATTACAGGCCTCCCCTGGTGGCTCAGTGGTCAAGAGTCCACCTGCAATGCAGGGAGATCCGGGTTCCATCTCTGTGCTGGGGAAGATCCCCTGGAGAAGGGAATGACAACCCACTCTAGTATTCTTGCCTGGAGAGTTCCGTGGACAGAGGAGCCTCCAGTACATGGGGTCGCAGAAGAGTCGGACGCGACTGAGCGACTAGCTCTTACTCACTTACTCTGTGGCATGTTGGGCATGCACACCGTAGAGAAAGCACATCTGAGATGAGACACGAGGGAGAGCCAAGCAGTAAAGTCGCTCAGAGGCGGCACGTGTAGTAGACACTCCCTGTGCACCCCCGAAGCAGAGTGGGACTTACAGAGCCGCCTCTGGCTGAGCCAGCGGACTTGTTCGTGTTCGCTCTGTAGGCACTGGCTAGGCACTGCAGGGAATGCTTAGTCCTGTCGGTGGCCATGCCGCCCCCCACGCGGGTCGTCTTTTCCTGGTTTGCGTATTCCGAGTCTGACCTGTGTGCCTCTGTCCTCCAGGCCCCCAGCCCCACCTTGTTCCTCTGCCGGCCGGATGGATCCGCTGCTGCCTGCCTCCCGCCTGTCTTCACCAAGGTCAGGCACCTGCGCGTCTCCTGCTCTGAGCTTGCTCTGGGCCTTTGATTCCATTCCCCTGTGGCCTCATGTATAGTCTTTAAACATGAAAACGAGTGATGAACAGGTTCTTATCGAGGTTACCCGTGGGGCTAAACAGATACTCTGTGCCCAGCTGCTGTGACCCTGACCATGTAAAGGTCTGAGAAGGCCGGGCCTGGCAGAGCTCAGAAGAGGCTGGGAAACCAGAGTGCATGGGAGATGCAGAATGGTGGGTGGGACCTGGGAAGCCAGCAAGGCTGTAGACGGTTTAAAAAGCAATTGACAGATTCTCAGCTTGTCTCAGCGGGTGTTTTGCATCGCCAGGCATGATGACATTGGTCAGCTCAGAAATGGTCCCATGGGGTGTTTCTCCTCTGTCTCCTCCCCACCTCTTTCTGAGAAAATTATAAATTTTGTAATTGGAGTTGAGTTGATTTACAGTGTTGTGTTAGTTTCAGGTGTACACAAAGTGATTCAGTGATACATGTACTTTTGTTCAGATTCTTTTTCCTTATAGAGTTTTAAAAAACATTGACTAGAGTTCCCTGGGTAATACAGTAGCTTCTTGTTGGTTCTCTATTTTATATAGACTGTGGTGTGTACATATCAGTCCCAATCTCCTAGCTTATCCCCGCCCCCTTTCCCCTTTGGTGACAGTAAAGTTTGTTTTCGAAGTGTTTTGTATGTAAGTTCACTTGTATCATTTTTTTGACTGAAAGATATTTAAAAGGCACAGTTGCAGAGGTGCCCCATGCCTGTGCACCAGCATACTGTCAGAAGTCACGCCCCCAGCCCAGTCTCTAAGTTCAGTGTAATATCGCTCAAATTCCAACAGATCTTCATTTTTATCTATGTTTGTCGTTGAACTTGCCAGCCTGATTCTAAATCTTTCATGGTTTAGAAAGTGGCTGAGAGCAGCCGGGGTCCTCCTACAGGGGCAGGCTGAGATGGTGTTAGGATCTGAGAAGTCAGGACTCCCTAGAGCAGAGCGCCAGGACGGCAGGGCTGGCTCAAGCCTGGACAGACAGACAGATGAGGCCCCGAGAGCACCCACAAGATGCCCCAGCAACACGAGGCTTACTGCGCAGGTTGGGGTCTTCAGAGGTGGGCCCCGGGCCACCCACCTCACAGGACCAACCCCAAGGTACAGAAGACGAATGTGACAGTGTTTTCTGTAGTCCACTCTCCGAAATCTGTGAATCTTCCACAAGGCAGCCGAGAGGAGGGTCTGTCTTCATCCAGGGAGTGATGCTTCCTCTGAAGCCAGCCTGCAGCCAGCTTGGTTAAAGACCTCTTCCTACAGCGTGTTTACGGAGGACACAGTCAGTGAATGAGGGTTGTCGACCACAACAGTGAGGGTCCACCTCCCCCTACCCGGGGTGAAATACCCGAAGAAGGAAAAAGTCCCGTCCTGCCTATGAACAGCGGTGTTGGGATGACAGCCCATGGGGCATCCATCCACCCGTGCTCAGAGAAGGAGTCGTTCGCAGAGTGGCCGGCACGAACACTGCCTGGCGCTCAGGAGCTGCTCACACGCAGCCCCACCCGTGAAATCTGTGTGAGCTGCTGAGCTGTCGGAACGCTCTTGGCTTTGGAGCCAGGGCCCCGCACACCTCCGGGCTGAGCTGTCACAGCCGTCCTGGGGCACCCGGCGGAGAGAGACCCGAGACTGCCCTTTCCTCCCGCAGGGCTGTGGGGCTCCTCCAGGCCAGCCCCAGCCCATCCTTGTCCCCACAGCGCAGCCCAGCTCCGGGGGCAGAGACCCCAGCGCAGTGTCCCTTAACCGCAAAGGAAGCCGGGAGGCGTGCTCGGAGCCTAGTAGAAAAGGAAACCAGGAGTCCACACTTTTCTAAAGCTTGAGCTTTTAAGCCGCAAACAGTAGAGTGGCTGCAGCGCTGCCTCCTGGGTGTGGACAGTGACTGTCCCCGCCTGCGGTGCGGGCCTCTTCCTCCTCGCGCGTGCCTGCAGCACGCTTCCCCTGGGGGCGGTGCCCCTCCCTGCCCTGCCCCGTCCTTCATGGGCCTGGGCTCTGCCAGTCCTTGGGCGCCTCCATCCGTGTCCCCCCACACCCCTGGTGGGGGTCCCTGGGGCTGAAGCCGGGGCCGCTGACCTGGTGGGAACAGCAGCTCATGGGCCCCAGGGACACGCTCGGGGCCAGGAGAGCGGCCACCCCATGTGGCGTTTCCCCCTGGAGCTGTGGACCTTGCAGGGAGTCTTGGTATCAGGCGGACCTGGCAGCACGCGATGCCTTCCTGTGGACCTCAAAGCCCCAGGGCCCTAGACCAGCCTTCCAAGGTCAGCCGTGTTGGCGTGGCTTTGGTCAGGAGAAGAAGCTCCCTCAGGAGGAGCCATGCGGCAGACTTGGAAAACTGCGGAGACCTGTGTGTGTGACACGCTTGCTTTCTACCCAGGTCCTAGCTTTGCGATTTTCCGGTGTGAGCAATATGCACAATCCCGGGAGCAAACCAGAGGCCCCTGGGTGTCTGGAGGCTCACACATGGAGAGTATCTGTGCAGCATCTGTAACACGCTGCGAGGGCTCCCTGGACACACTGGGGGTATCGATGACTCCATCCTCACTAGCTGGACCCCGAGGGCAACATCTTCCCTGCTGATCTGCGAAATACTGCTCTCTGGACTAATCAGAAAGTGGAAGTCAATTTAAAACCAGAGACTTTTCTACATTTAAAAGTAAGAACGAAGAGAGAATGGACTCAGAAGTAGGTAATAATATTCACCTTTTCATTTACCAAAAAGGCCTTTGGCACCAAAATTCTCACCAGGTACATTAGACTTTCCTGCTTCTGCCCACATTGTGGACTTCCAGGGTTTTCACAGGGCCAGAGTGCATGGCACTGCAGGCCAGTTGCTACAGGACCTGCAGCTTTTCTGAGGATCTGTGTTTTTCCCCTGCACACCATTGGCTATCTCTCAAGGAAAATGTAAAATAAAAAGCAAAAATGGAGACAGGAAAAAAAAAAGCATACTTCCTAACGTGAATTTGTTTGCTTTGGTTCTATGCATAATCATTTATTGTATCTGACTTACTTCAAGAGCTGTACGTGTCCTTTATCGGATGCAATACCCTGTAGGCACACACGTAGATAGTAGAAAGTTTCGGTGGGCCCGTGGCCTGGCAGTCCCAGGGGAAGAAGGCAAGGGAGGCACCTGGAAGGGCCAGTTATTCCTTTGGTTTTCAGTAGCCAGTTTACAAGCTTCAGCTCTTTGCATCTGTGCAGCCTCCCTCATTTCTGGTCTGTTGGGCTGTAAAAGTTTATGGGTCTGGAGCTGGAATGGGTGGGGCACCAGGGTGACGCACTGGTCAGGGGGAGGAGGCAGGGAAGGTCAGGGGGTGCCGTGCTCAGAACCTGCAGGTGAGTGGGATCTGGAAAGGGGTCCTGGTGCCCCTGTCTGTGGGGTGGCAGTGCAGACACTGTGTAGAGAACAGACTTCAGGCCCAGGGAGCGGGGCTGGCAGAAAGGAGAGGGTCAGATGAGTGGAGAGAGTAGTGTGGGAACATAGACGCTACCGTAGGTAAAACAGATCGCCAGCTGGAGGTTTGCTGTGTCACTCAGGGAACTCAAACCAGGGCTCTGCGACAACCTGGCCGGGTGGGGCGGGGAGGGCGGTTCAGGAGGAAGGGGGCGTATCTGTACCCGTGGCTGACGCATGTTGATGTTTGGCAGAAACCAACACAATATTGTAAAGCAATTATCCTTCAATTAAAAATAAACTTAATTATTAAAAAAACAGAAGAACCTGCAGATGAGGAAATGCCAGCCCTCCTTCTGGTGCAGCTGCCCCAGGACCCTGGTGGACAGAGGCGGGTCCTGGGGGAAGGTCGGGGCTTGGGGCACAGATGGGAGACGCAGGATCAGCCCTTGGGTCGGGGAGGTCCCCTGGAGAGGAGCATGGAGACCCACTCCAGTATTCTTGTCTGGAGAATCCCATGGACAGAGGGGCCTGGCCTCTGGTGGACACGTGGCATCACCTTCCCCTCCTGCCCGGTCCCCCAGGACTCTACCCCCAGATGGAGCACATCCTCGTGTAGATAAAGACAGGTCATGGCGACACTGAGTGCCATGGGTGATGGAGTGTGTGTACTGCAGGGCGGGCCTGGGGCCTCCTTCATTTCATCACCTGGGATGCAGTGCCCTCCTGACCTGAGGAGGGGCTCGTGTGCAGGCGCACAGCCTGTATTTGCTGCTCTGTGTCACGAGAGCGTGTCGTGTGGCTGTGTGAGCCCAGCCCTGACGGGTGTGTCCTGGTGTTTCAGGAGCTGCAGAACATCTGTGCGTCCGAGGGCCAGGTGGTCGTGCTGGAGTGCCGTGTGCGAGGCACGCCCCCGCTGCGGGTCTGCTGGTTCCGACAAGGCAGTGAGATCCAGGACTCACCGGACTTCCGGATCCTGCAGAAAAGTAAGCAGAGGGTCTGCCTCACAACGCTGCCCACAACACCACATGGGTCTGACCAGGCCCTGGTCTCCAGTCCAGGAGAGCCAGGAAGGGTTTAATCACTGACATGCATGGATTTCTTCTTTGTTTCTTTTTTTTTTTGGCATTTTATTATTTTTTAATTATTTTTTTATTCCTCACTCTTGAACCTCCCACCCCATCCCACCCCTCTAGATATTTTTTAATTTTTATTTTTATTAAAACATAGATGATTAACAATACTGAATTAGTTTCAAGTGTACAGCGAGGAGATTTTGCTATACATATACATACATCCGAGCTTCCCTGCTGGCTCAGATGGCAAAGAATCTGCCTGCCATGCAGCAGACCCCAGTTTGATTCCTGGGCTGGAAAGATCCCCTGGAGAAGGGGAAGGCTGCCCACTCCAGTATCCCTGCCTGGAGAATCCCAAGGACAGAGGAGCCTGGGTGGCACAGTCCGTGGGGTCACAGAGTCGGACACAACTGAGCAACTAAGCACAGCGTACGGACATCCATCCTTTTTCGGACTCTTGCTCCATATAGGTCACTACGGAGCATGGAGTCGAGGACCCTGTGCTGGACAGGAGGCCTGGTTGTTTGTTTATGGACGGTGGTGTGGGTGCATAGATTTCTGATCTCAGAGTTGAGGGGACATGGGTTACAACACATTAAAGCCATCCTGCTGGCTGTGGGCCCTCACACGCCCTGACTGAAGTTTTGTTTTCTTCTTCTGCAAAATTGCACATCCACATTTGAATTCAAAGTTGGGCCAGTCATCTTATGAGGCTCTGAGCCTTCCTGCAGTTGAAAACCTTGCTAGTGAGAGCTGTTAAGGGAATTTTAGTTTATTTATGGGAATATAGATTGATCTACCGTCCCTCTCCCTTGTACGATGGGGCTTGTCTGCAGTATTTCTGCAGACATGTCCTAGACAAGGTCACAGGAAAGGATGGCAAGTTTAGTATGAACGGAAACTGACTCAAATCTCTGTTTTGATTTCTTTTTTTTCTCATGTGGGGAACAGAACCTCGATCCACAGCTGAACCTGGTAAGAAGCTTTTTCTTTTTTCCTCTCTGCTAATGTATCTCTTCAGTTTCAATAGTTCTTTGTTTCCGTTTTGAACCACATGCAGAACAATGTTTTTGCAGTTCCCTGGAAATGTGAAACCCCCTTACAGACAATATCTTCTTTATTGTGGGGTCTGCACACTGCATTTTACATCCAGTTGTTTTATTAGTGAAACATTAAGTTCCATTCAGACAAGGAGATCGGGCTCAGTGACTTAAGGCTTTTAAAACCGTGGTCTTTTATACTCAGAAAGCAAACTAAGCTAGAGATGAAAAAGCATCCTGCTAAGATTTCAGTGGAAGAGTGGTCTGCAGCACATTTCCGCTGAACAGAACACACAGCTAGACTGCGGCCTGGAGCTGCGTCTCCTGGCAGAGCAGCCTGACGGTGTCGGCAGAGCGACCCCAGGGGCTCCGTGTGTGCGCCCTGAGCCGTGACCGCTTCCTGCGCTGCAGCCGGAGCAAGGGCATCTCACCCTGCGGTGTCTCGCTCACACACCCCCGGCCTCATCAGGGCCGTGCGCTCCAGAAGCCTGGTCTCCTGCCCTCCGCCTCACTCTTCTCATTCTTGCCTGGCTTCTCACAGACAAAGCTGAAGTCCAAAGAGAAGCAGAGATTTCTGCCCACGTGCTCCTCGCAGGTCGTCCTGGAGGACACTGTCTCAGTGTTTTTCCCAGCAGTGCCGTCACCAGCTTCAGTCTTCTTGCTGAAGGCTAGGAATGATGTGTCTCTGTTTCACCATGGTTGCGTTTCTCAGGAGCCAGACTTGGCTCTGGCTCTCCTTGGAGAGCTTGGAGGCTCCTGGTCAGAAAGGCCGCGGTTGGTCCCGAAGCTCTCATACCCCAGCAGGCGGCCTGAGGGGCAGAAAGTGAGCCAGTTAGGATCCAAACGTGAGGGATGCTCAGTGCACCCAGAGGGGAGGCTGCACTGGATCTGATGCCTTCCGCTTCCTTTTAAATCTTTACTGGACAATAGGTGATTTACAATATTGTTAGTTTCTGCTGTTCAGCAAAGTGAATCAGACTATGAATCAGTCCGTGGGGTCTCAGAGTCAGACACGACTGAGCGCTAAGCACAGCACCCACGTGCACCCACTCCTTCTTAGGTTCTTTTCCCGTGTGGGCCACGACGGAGCGCTGAGCAGAGTCCCTGTGCTGTCCAGCAGGCCCGCGTGTGCACTGTTTGTGTGCACGTTGGTCGCAATCTCCCAGTTTATCCCTTTCCCCCTTTTCCCCTTCCTAACCATAAGATTATTTTCTATACCCGTGACTCTACTTCTATTTTGTACGTTAGTTCATTTGTACCATGTTTTTAGATTCCACATATAAGCAATATCATACGATGTCTTTGTCTGACTTACTTCACTCAGTATGACCATCTCTAGGCCCATCCTTGTTGCTGCAAATGGCACTATTTCATTCTTTTTATGGCTGAGTAATATTCCATTGAATGTATGTGCCACATCTTTTTTATCCATTCCTCTGTCAGTGGATATTTAGGTTGTTACCATGTCTTGGGCTTCTGTTGTAGCTCAGTCAGTAAAGAATCTGCCTGCAATGCAGGAGACCTGGGTTCGATTCCTGGGTCAAGAAGATCCCTTGGGGAAGGAAATGGCAACCTACTCCAGTATTCTTGCCTGGAGAATCCCATGGACAGAGGAACCTGGTGGACTATATCCCATGAGTTGCCAGAGTTGGATATGACTGAGCAACTAAACTACTAACTACCACTATGTCTTGGCTGTTGTGAATAGTCCTGCAGTGAACATTGGGATGCAAGTTATCTTTTTGAATTATGGTTTTCTCCGGTTATGTTGGAGACATATGGTTATGTCCAAGAGTAGGCTTGCTGGGTCATTTGGTAGCTCTCTTTTTAGTTTTTTGAGGAACCTCCAAACTGTTCTCCATAGTGGCTGCGCCAATTTACATTCCAACCAGCAGCGTAGGAGGGCTCCCTTCTCTCCACATCCTCTCCAGCATTTATTGTGTGTAGACTTTTTGATGATGGCCATTCTGACCAGTGTGAAGTGATACCTCATTGTAGTTTTTATTTGCATTTCTTTAATAATTAGCGATGTCGAGCATCTTTTTCTGTGTTTTTTGGCCATCTCTGTGTCTTTTTTGGAGAAATGTCTATTTAGGTCTTCCATTTTTTATTGAGTTGTTCTTTTGGCATCATACTGTGTAAGCTGTTCGTATATCTTGGAGATTATTCCTTTATCAACTGCTTTGTTTACAAATATTTCCTCCAGTTCTGTGGGTTGTCTTTTCACTTTGTTTATGGTTTCCTCTGCCGTGCAAACGCTGATCTGATGCCTTCTGTTGTGCGTTATACCCAGACCCAGTGCCTACATGTACAGTCCCCATGGCAGGTGCTGTGATCACTTTCCAAATTATGGAAACATAACTGCATATTTTGTCTGTGACATGGTTTCATTAAAATTGATGCTGTTTAATGATGATGCTGTTCCCCGATAGAGGGGACTTCTGAGGTTCAATCTCCTGTGTGAACTGGTGTGGAAACCCTATGGGAGTCAGAGCACATCTCTTACATTGCTATTTTAAATAGACTAGATAGACAGATGAATGGATATAAAAACAGGAATCAGATTTCTCCTTTACCCACAAGAAAGTTTGTATGAAAAAAATCTATGGAGAAAGTATCTCCTGATACTTTATTTATTTACAAATAAAACTAAGTCTTGGGCCAAACATTCTGAAAGCATTTCTGGTGGAATGGATTAAGAGTGCACTTGAGCTTGCATTTTGGATTCTGTTTGAATTCATGCAACTCTTCTTTCATCGTGTTTTATCCATTGTCATTGCCTACACAGGCGATGTGATTTATTAAATGTCTCTCATGATCTGTGTTGGAAAATCAATTTCCAATCATCTGAAAATTCAAAACATTGGTTAGAAATTGCATAGTTCAGTTTCTGCGTATGCATGTGTTTGAAAATTGAAAACACTCAATATGCCAACTAAGAAGGATTTGGTGAGGGAGAGAAACTCCACACACTCTCACCCCTCACGCAACATACACTCCTGTCTCAGTTATGTTTGCTGTTTTGCTTCTAGAATTTGGTTGAACTATTTAGTAAAGCCAGTGCTGAGCAGCTTCATGGGGTAGTCTGACCTATAGAGTGTCCTTGAATGCCTTTGGGTTAGTGGCAACTCTTGCCAGGAAGAGCAGGATGCGGAAGGCCTTCCTCATAATCGGCACATCCTCGAAACGTACGGAAAAGTCAGCCCTTTCTGGCTCTGGTTTCCTATTTTTCTTTTCCCTTGGATTTGATCTGGAAGCATTTAAGAAAACAGATTCCTTCATTCCAACCACAATAATAGCATTTGCTGAAGACAAGTATCAGTATTTTTTTGGTTGAATAGTATTTCAAGCAAATCTGTCAATGCAAGGCAAACCACAGATATAGTCATCAGTTATGGAAAAAAACACAACTAGTCTTCTCTGACCTCTGATAATTCCTCCACAATTGTGTTTCTCACAACACAGCTGGATTGCTCCTTTCTTTCATGGAGGACTATTACTGTATTTGGCTTCAGGAGACCCCTTGGCATGGAGAATTACATAAAATCCATAAACATGAACAGCGATCCAAGTGACCACTTACATGAGTTGTTGAGTTAGAACTTCAGGACAAGCAAATATTAACACATATTTGTAGTTGAACAGTGTCCTGGCTTGCCTGACAAAAGCACATACGATTATGATTCCTTTACTGGGAGGCAGAGGTCTTCTAGCATTGACCTTGAGGTTGACTGATGCTTCCAGGGTAGAGAACTCAACTTGTATTGAACCTTCTACGTTCTTTAAATGACTGGATGGATAGCTCCGTCCCACAAACAGACCTGTGAGCTCTTTGACCTTTCGGAATGTGTGTAGGAACTGGCTTCCCCCCTGGCTATTTTTAGCCACTGTTCAATGGAGAGGAGATAAATTTTATTAAAGGACTAGACCACTAGGTGGTCTCCAAATGCTAAGACGTAAGATGGCTTAAGATTCAGAATGCATCCAGCCTTCCCCCACTTCCTGACCCGCTCACTCTTGTGCTGTCCTCCCTGGCTGGCCTCTTCCCTTCCTTTCTTTTCCCATTTGCCCTCTCCTTTATTTAGATGTCTCTTTTTCTCTTCTCTTCATTCTCCTTCCTTTCTCTTCTTCGTGGGTAAGATAAAGACCTGGAAATGAAAATGAAATTCACTGGTGCCTGGACGCAGCCCCTGGAGGGGTTAGATGTTTAGATAAAGAAGGAAATAGCCAATTCCCTCCAGTTGTATTACACAATGGAAGCAGGTTTTTCTCGTCATTCCTGTGCTGCGTCTGTCTGACGTGTCTCCACCGCCTTCTCGTCTAGACAGAGGTCTGCCTGCATCACCCATCTCCTCAGAGGCTCAGTCCACAGCAGCCAGTGTGCTCAGGACTCACATGTCTTTCAGAGAGCCTGCCCCAGTCTCCTTGACATGCTGACCTTATCCTGATTGAGTCCTTCAGAGACCTGTGAGGGGGGAGGCAGAGAGGGGGAAGGGAGGGGAGTGGGGCACAGAAGACCCATGTGACAGCTGTCCGCACCCAGGCCCTGCCTCAGCTGTCTAGAAATGGCCACAGCCTGTATTGAGTTACTCCTACAGTATTGTCTCATGGTGTGCAAAGTCCAAACTCCAAAAGTGTGTCTTATTGGTTGGGGGATGGTGCCTGAGAAAGTGTGGCTTTCTGCTCACCAGGGCCACCTACCCTCCTAGCTCTGGAGAGTGGAATCCTGAGTCAACATGTGAATGAATTATATTTTGTTACATGAAGTGAGGTGCTGAGTGGTTGGAGGGTGACTGTGAGGATGTTTGAATGCAGTTCCAGGTTAAGATGGTGGATTAAACAAAAGTGGGTTGGATAAAGCCTGTGGTTCCCAAACTGTGTGGCCAGACACCCCATGCACCATACCTGCCAACAGAGGTACTGGAGGTGGTGGAG